AGTCGAATCGGCGGTTGTATCCTCCTTGAAGCTCTTCCAGCTAAAAGCTCCGCCATTCAGGCAAAACAAATATCCTGCTTGTGATTTTGAATCGTCTCTGTCGGTTTGGAAGCTAGCATCAGTGTAACCGACCACCTTTAGCTCTTCCTCACCACCGTATACCAGGAATGCATCCTTAGTATTGCGAAGATACTTGAGGATGTTCTTGACCGCTGTCCAGTGTGCTTCTCCTGGACTTCCCTGGTATCTGCTGGTCACGCTTAAAGCGAATAAGACATCAGGTCTAGTACATATCATGGCGTACATGATGGATCAAATCGCAGAGGCATATGGAACCTTCATCATGAATTCCTTCTGCTCGGGAGTAGAAGGACTCTGGCTCTTGGAAAGAACCGTGCCAGGTGTCATAGGTAAAGATCCTTTCTTTGAGTTAGACATACTAAATCGATCAAGGATTTTATCTATATATGTACTTTGATTCAGACCTATTAACTTTCTTGATCTATCTCGGTAGATTCTTATGCCAAGGACATAACTAGCATCCCCTAAGTCTTTCATGGAGAAGTTCTCGCTCAACCACGTCTTTACAGAAGTGAGAGCGGGAATATCGTTACCCATTAACAATATGTCATTGGAGATGGAACAAAAACCACTTCTAATTAACAAGTGGTTAAATGTTTCCTTGATTTCTACACTAACCTGTTTGGGTATGCCACCCAAGTAGAGCCCATTTGTAGTGATGTGCTGGCTGCTGGTACAACTGTCCCTACCTCTGCCCATAGTGCATTGCTTGCAACAGTGACCCTTGAGGAGGTGAAGGAGGTTGTGTTTGACATTGGGAATGACAAGGCACCTGGTCCAGATGGGTATACTGCTGCATTTTTTAAGAACCAATGGGCTACTATTGGACAGGATGTTTATGGTGCTGTTTTGGAATTCTTTACATCTGGGAAGCTTTTGAAACAGATTAACCTTGCTATGATTGTTTTATTACCCAAATTTGCTCATAACCGTACGGTAAAGGACTTTAGACCTATTGCTTGTCTAAATGTCCTTTATAAGGTCATTACTAAAATTCTTGCAAGGCGTATGGCACCTCTACTACCTGACCTAATTGACCCAGCACAGGGGGCATTTGTACAAGGGCAGACACGTGTTGACAATATGCTGCTGGCCCAACACTTGGTTAGAGATTATGCTGTCAAAAGATCTACCCCTAGTTGCATGATTAAACTGGATATCACTAAGGCGTATGACACAGTTTCTTGGAGTTTTCTTGGGGATGTCATGATTGGCTTGGGATTCCCAACTAGATTTACTGCCCTTATTATGGAATGTGTTTCTTCAGCTTCCTACTTACTTATGATCAATGAAAACTGCCACGGGTTTTTCTAAAGCAAGCGGGGCTTGAGGCAGGGGGATCCTATGGCGCCAACCCTCTTCCTCTTTTGTATTGAGTATTTCTCCAGGGCACTCAACACTAAAGCTAGAGACGGCCTGTTTAGTTATCACAAAGATTGTGCGGAGTTGGGGATTACACACTTGGCTTTTGCTGACGACCTTATGCTCTTCTCCTGAGGTGACTTCCACTCTGTCCAGATACTTATGGATACACTGAGGCACTTCTCCAATGTATCAGGTTTGACCCTCAATCCAACTAAATCTAATATCTTCATTGTTGGCAAGTACAGGGACACTAGCCAAGATATTCTAGATTTGGCCTCCTTTCCTCGTGGGCATCTCCCTGTTAGATACCTGGGTCTTCCCTTGGCTTCTCATAGGATCTCTGAGGCAGATTTTGCTCCTCTTTTAAAATCTGTGGATGGGTTCCTTTCTAAGTGGGCTACCATGAAACTCTCTTATGCTGGGAGATTGGAATTGAGTAGGGCTGGGGTCCAATCTTTCTGGCTACACGTTCCTAGTCCAAAAGTACGTCCTGGACCGCATTACATCTTTATGCCGTAACTTCCTTTGGGGGAGCAAATTTTCAAAGGTAGCTTGGGCTGATATTTGTAAACCCAAAGCAGAGGGGGGTTTGGGTCTTAAAGATGCTGGGAATTGGAATAATGCTCTGTTATGTAAGCTTCTTTGGAATTTGGCAGCGAAGAAAGACTCTCTTTGGGTGAAGTGGGTGCACAATGTTTATCTTAAGCATGAAGCTATTTGGCATTGGCAACCTAAGAGGAGGCACTCTGTCTTCTTCAAAAGACTAGCCTATGTGCGAGAGCTTTTAACCCAAAAGCTCAGTGACCATAACTCCTCAATGGAAGTGGCTATGCAACCTTTATGTTTGGGTGGGAAACTTGTTCCAAGTAAGGTTTATGACTTGTTTAGGGTTAAAGCTAATCCCAAGTCTTGGATGTCTTTCATTTGGCATTCAACCATCCCTCCTAAGTGCTCCTTTACGATGTGGCTTGCGCTTAGGAGGAGGTTGCCCACTAAATCTAACTTGGAATTTCTAGGTTTACCCATGGCTTGCACCTTTTGTGGTCAAGGACTAGAGGACGTGGATCATCTGTTTTTTGAATGCTGTGTTTCGAAGCAGGTTTGGGCAGCTGTAAAGTTATGGCTCCGAATGGATGGACAGTTGGGCTCACTAGACAGGGCAATTAGATGGCTAAGGACTTTCCGTAGAGAGGATGCTATCTTGAAGAAGATGAGGAAACTGGCTTTGGCCTGTACGGTCTTCCACCTCTGGAAACACTACGCCAAAAACATTATCAGACGACTGTTGATTAACTACTGTTTATGGAAACACAGTAGTTAAAAAAACACAGACTACTGTGAGTTTTTCTTGGCTACAGAACAGTAGTCTAGCTACTATGCTTTAAAACTGTTTTTAAAGTTTCGAGAAACGGTAATATATCACTAGTTGTCTGTGTCAGTTCAAAATACAGTTTTTGTTGCAACAGTTGTCAATAACAAAATAAGAATACTCTATTTAAACAGTAGTATGATGTTTTAGTCTAGAACTATTTTTAAACTTATTAGAAACAGTTATCTATTGCTAGTTGTCAGTTTCATATGACTTTTTTTCCACCGTTGTTTCTAATGGGAATAAAAGACTCTTTTGTAACAGTTGTCTATGAATTAAGGGTAGAACTATTTTTAAACTTGTCAGAAACGGTAATCTTTTATTAGTAGTCCATTGCACCTAAAAATACAGTTTTTGTTACCACAGTTGTCAATAATTAGTTAAGACTACTATTTCTAAAAGTAGTCCGGTTTTCAGTTTATAACTGTTTTTAAACTTATAAAAAATAGTATTATATTGTTAGTTGTATGTTTCATATGGTTTT